GAGCAGTGTGAAGAAGAAGAGGCAAGAACGACCCCCGGAACGACCAAAGCCCGCGCACCGCTGCACCCCCGCGTCCAGCGCCTACGTCCCACCGCCATCGCCGCCATGCCCAAGAGAAAGGCTGAAGGGGATGCTAAAGGAGATAAAGCAAAGGTGAAAGATGAACCACAGAGAAGATCTGCAAGATTGTCTGCTAAACCTGCTCCTCCAAAGCCAGAGCCCAAGTCATTCTCAAAAAAAGTGCTGGTCTCAGTGTCTAAGTACCTTAAACCTGAACTTTGGCCTGGGAGCAAAATGTTGCTATAGGTGAAATGTGAACAAAGATAGTTTGAAAATATACATGTCGCATTAATCTGTCTGTCTTTCTTTTAGGCACAGAAAGCTGAAAGTGCTGGAGATGCCAAGTGAAGTGTGTGCATTTTTGATAACTGTGTACTTCTGGTGACTGTACAGTTTGAAATACTATTTTTTATCAAGTTTTATAAAAATGCAGAATTTTGTTTTACTTTTTTTTTTTTTTTTAAGCTATGTTGTTAGCACACAGAACACTTCATTGTTGTTGTTTTGGGGGGAAGGGGCATATGTCACTAATAGAATGTCTCCAAAGCTGGATTGATTTGGGGAAAATGCCTTTCCCTTCTAGTTTTGAGAGACTTCCTCTTGGCTCCCAGGAGGAGGGATTCCCTGACACTGGCACAAATAGCCACCTTGGCACAAATGCCCTGTGGTGTGGAAAAACTAAAATTTGTTTTTATGCCCTCTTCTCCCTTTCCGCCTTCAGCATAGACCTAACTCCCTTAAGCTCAGAGACCTGTTGGGACCTGACCCTCAGAAATTGGTTACCATTATGTCAGGCAATCTGGACTTTCCAGTAATGCCACTGAGATGGCATCCCTCAAGAGAGCAGCAATTCCTTTTCAACATTGTGGATATTGAGATTAATTCTGCCATTTTCATTTCATTTCCTGAAAGTCAGGGTCGGCTTGTGAAAAGTTGTTAAACAACATTCTAAATGTGAAATGTCAACCCTCACTCTAAACTTTCCGTGTTCGGAGCATCAGATGAAGACTTCATTGGGTTTTATAGTGGCTTTATGATTTTGGTAGTCCATTGAAGAAGGGAGTTTGAAAGTTGTTGTATACTGTTAACGATTGTCTGCCCATGTCCTGCCTGAAATACCATGGTTGTTTATGAAAAGTATCTTTAATAAAGCTGGATACAGTTTGGCTTGGAATACTGCCTCTGATCTTTTCCCACAAGTGGGGAAACCTAGTTTCTCCAAGTTTCTTAGGACAGGGTGCATTCTGATATGAGTCTTTAGAGAATCCACATAATGTCAAATGGTCTTTCATTGACTTATAGTTAGTCTCCAAAACAATGCTAGGTATAGTTAGGAAGGATTCCAGAAGTAAAGAGGCAGGGAGCAGAGAAGTGGTTTCTGCACTTGGTTATGCAGTGTTCCCTGAAGTTTTTAAATGCAGATTTTTGGTAGATCTAAGGTTTTGGCTTGGTAGCTGATGGCAAGGAACCTCTCCACTTCTTCAGCATTCACAACATAAAATTAGCAAATTAGATCTGACTGTAGGCTTGCGTCAGAAAGTGCCCCATGTCTGTGCACAATTAGCTATAATATGTGTAAGGCAAATAACACTGCTCCTAAGTAGGCCTACAAACGAAGATGTAATGGGGACTGGCTGGTTGCTTTAGTTTGGAGATGCCATGGACAACCCCTTTTCTTTAGTGAAATAGCAAGAAGTCACGTTAGAATACAGAACTTGTACTAAATTCATGTTTGCAGTTTGAATTTGCTTTCACAGACCACCTGGCTATATTGTTTGAGGAGAATAAAGGAAATAGTAAACCACGAGATTATTTTGTCCCCTTAGAAAAGGTAGAGCTGGCAGTTAAAAGTCTTTCTTGATAAGGTTTTTTTGGTGTATTATCTCTCATCTTAAGTGTTGAGACAACTGTGTAATGGAAGTGTTACACCCATTTTTATTGGTGAGGAAACAGGCTCAGATGAAGAAACTTATTTTTAAAATATGTGCACATCTAGTGAGCAGCAAGGTCAGGATTCAGACCTCTGACTTTACTCAAAATTCATTTCTGACTTTGACTTCTGTTTGGAGGCACCCTCTGGGTAAAATAGTTTGTCCACGTAGGTAACTTCCAGCCATTTCCCTTCATTATTGTTGAAGTCATTCTAGGTTGTAGATGCTTAATTTTTATTCAGGAGGAAGTGTCCTCTTCCAGAGTAGAAACCATTGTACAGATGTCTTAAGAGTGGTTGGGGGTACAGAAGGTTAGTATTTGAACAGAGGTTGCAGAATTTAAGAAAGCTGCACTGGAAGTTTTGGGTTTTTTGGGGGGGTTTTGGTCAGCTAGCCAGTATGGGGATCTGCACCCTTGATCTTTGTGTTATCAGCACCACACTCAAGTGAGCTAACCAGCTGGCCCCAGAGGTCCTTGATCAGCATTTGGATTCAGTAAAATCTGTTGAGCCGTGGACTCTTAGCCCTGCTGCATGCTCTTATTTAATCTTTGGGTTAATCCTATGAGATGTAGGTGTTACCCTTATTTTGTAGTTGAGACAGGCTCAGAGATGTAAAGTGACTGAGTTTAAACTTGGTAGTAACCTGTTTTTATTTCTGTTTGACCCTCTTTTTTTAGGTTGCCAAAAAATTAGGATGAG